TGGAGTATTTTCTGTTATGTCTGCCCAAACAACAGTTAATAACCATTCCTTACTCTATGAAAAAATTAAAAAAAAAAAAGATCTTTTATTATACTTACATTTTTAAAAGCAGTAACCTATAGCAACCATAAAGAAGTATTCTTGCTTGGCGATAACTTAAAGCAGAACTAAACTCTTGTACTCCTTACAGCTAAGGAGGTACCATCTTAGCTTCTGTTTGATGTTTAGGTGACATGGTGTTGCACACATGACCAGCTATGACACCAGCCATTTGATGTCTTGACAGATCAGTTGAGAAGTACACTTGTAACTGTAACAAGGGAGTAAAAAACAGATGGCTGAGCCATGGTTTTACTACCTCCTGGCTGCCCATCTAAAGACTATACCAGCATGCCACGGCTTCAGAGCAAATTCGATGTGATATCACAGATCACCTTTCAGAGCATTGGCTAGTGTGAACCTAGCCTAACAATTATCATTCAAGGCATGCCTGCCACGTAACTGCTTTGGGAAAGTTAACACGGTGGGTTTGGTTTCCCTTTAAGCAACATGTATTCTAATTGGTTCATCACTTAAGAATGAACACTTATTGCAAAGGTTGCTCATGGTAATTTGTCCTACATGAAATTGGCACCACCAAGTTGATCAGTTGCAAAGTTCAGGGATGTTCCCAACTGAATTTTTGCCAGATAAAGTCACTTTTCTTGTAATTAAGGAACAAATGAACTCCATCCATCAGATAAAGACATTGTTCCTCTAGAGGTTCACAATGATTCATTTGCATGTGTACCTTGCACATGAGAAGCCACAATGATTATTCGCAAAATAATAGGATGTTACCTAAATAGATGGATGATGTGAAGAAGCATTTTTATATTATTTATTTTCAGAGTCATGCAATGGAGATATGACAGCAGCTAGAAGCATTGGATAATGGAGTTAATTCACTTTTATAAAAGAGGTTGCTCGCTTAGGGCCTGAAATTGCTTTAGTAATATGTGTTGTAACATGCTTTATTCTAAGCTAACATGTGAATGGGCTCTTACCAAACAGAATGTTAACTTTATGAAACAAATGTTAGAAAATAAGGTAACCCTGTGTACTAAACTATGAGTAGAAAATTAAAAAAACATGATTTTTGCTACAAAATGGTTGAATAAAGAACATTCACTTGCTTAGTGAACAGGCTATACTCATTTACTAAATCAATCCCACTGGCTGTCTTGTTGAGGTTATCCAGGCAACAGCTACACTTTATTCCACTTGCAGATATAAATTTTCATTTTTTGTGTTGGTTTGGTTGAGACTCAATGGAAGATTGTTTGAAAAAGAGACAGAACTAGCAAACAAAAAATCAGAATCTACTGAGTAAATTACAAAATTAGGAAACTAAAGGGGCATACGTAGGAAAACAAATATATACTGTATATATCCTCTTTTTTTTTAGCTCATGCTGAAACAATTAGAAATCATTATCATAAATTACATAGTAGAACTTAATTGGGTTGATTTACCAATGGCAAATAGACTGTGCACTTTGCAAAGGGCAGTTGTACTCTGCAAGTTCAGTTGCTCCAAAGCTTAGTAAATGAGGTAAAGATTCACTTTGCAAGAATACCCAATCATGTACAAGGAAAATAATAACTTGCACATGATTGGATGATAGAAGTCAACAGAGCTTCTGCTCATTTACTAAGCTCTGGAGCAACTGCACTTGCAGAAAATGCAGTTGCAAAGTGCTCAATCTATTTGCCTTTAGTAAATCAACCCCATTGTTTATTTTGCTTATTCTTACTTTTGCAAACTCTACAAAGAGAAAGTACAATGTGAAATGAGTACAAATATGACATAAAGCAAAAGACATAGACAAAATAAAACACACAGACCAAGAGTCAGATAAAAGATGGGTGACATTTGATGTTGCACCTCGACTCATCATTTGTCTATTCTAAAATTTGCCAAAAGGGCTGGCATACCTAATCGGGCTAGGCATGAGTTCTTAGAATCAAAGAGCTCTGTTTATATAGATAATATTAATTTCATTTGTCCCTAATAATGTACTGGGTTGGAAGTCCTTAGTGACAGTCAGAGTCACCAAAGCTCCATTGTGTAAGACCAATTTTGGGTCCTCCATGTAACTGCTGACCTAGTAAAGGACTTATTCACCCTGCATTGATTCCCAGCTAGAAAGAAGTGAGCATTTCAGGTCTTTGTAACAGTGGGAGGGGTCCCAGTATTGATCTGACCCACATCTAGTATAAATTGGCACCTAAGTCCCTATGGGCCCTGCCACAGCTACATAGTCAAACAATCATATGTCTGTCCCTAGAAATGCTCTTTGACCATGATCTCTCCACTGAATACACAAAACTCTGTGATATAAATGCTTTATTTTCCAATAAAGAAGAAAAGAATACATGTTCAATAATCAGCTCATGCAGTATATTAATAAAATATACATACTTGCTTTAGTTGATAAATACTACATAATATTTATTTGAACATGCATACACCTGTGTTAACAGATTTTAAAAACAGCTTTGCAGTATACATATATTAGCATGCTTACAGAGGTGTAATCCATTTAGCTCAATTAACATACAAAGGGGTTTCAAGTGTCCTATCATTATTTGAAGGAGCTTTTTTCAAATTCTCCCCACTTATGACTGGATGTTGGACATGGACACTTTACCTTACAGTACATTTTTGTAAAGTAGGACCAAACCTCACCATATTTAACCTCACTCACTTTGGTATGTCAGGCTAAAAATGAAAATAATAGACCTGTATTTTGATATTAACAGTAATAAATGTTCTAAAAGGTTGCTTGGATACAGCATATACATGTATTTAATTGATTATACTTCCAGCTGGATGGTAAATAGGTTATGTCAAAAAGCCTATATTCTTTGATGAAGAAAAAATAAATAAAATCTGAGGAGGTTTATTGTGAAAAATATTTTATAAAGGTAACTGCATGTGGTTAATATATGTAATAATATTCTTCAGTATATAAATTCATTTTTTATTTCATGTTTTCATGTATAACATTTAACCACTTGCCCTCCAGAAGATTTACCTTCCTTCTTGACCAGACCATATTTTGCAATACGGCCCTGCATTAATTTAACTGACAATTGTGCGTTCATGCAATGCTGTACCCAAATTAAATTTATGTCCTTTTTTCCCACACATAGATTTATTTTGGTGGTATTTGATCACCTCTGCGGTTTTTTACTTTTTTGTGATATAAACAAAAGAAATACTAACAGTTGTGTAAAAAAAAAGCTATATTTTTTATTTTCTGCTAAAAAACATATCCAATAAAATAATTTTAAAAATCAAATTTTTTATAAATGTAGGCCAAAATGTATTCTTCAACATATTTTTGGTAAACAAAATCCCAGTAATTGTATATTGATTAATTTGCGCAAAAGTTATAGCGTCTACAAACTATGGTACATATACTGAAAATTGTTTTTATTTATATATATATATATATATATATATATATTAGTAATGGCAGTGATGATCCAATGTATAGTGGGACAGCAATATTGCGGTGGACATTTGTACACTAACTGACACTCTGTGGGAACCAGTGACACTAATACAGTGATCAGTGCTAAAAATATACACTAATCACTGTACTAATGACAGTGGTTGGGAAGGGGTTAGCTTCTAGAGTTATCAGAGGGTTAAGTGTGTGTGCTAGCTATGTGCTTGGTGTACACAAAGTGGTGCTAGGAAGTGATGGATCGTGATTTTGCACATGAATGCCGCCCTGTAGCAGTACAACGTCTATAGAGAAGATGTTAAGTGGCTAAATGCAGGCCAAGCTATCCTGAAAAAAATATGGTGACAAGGGTTGGGACAATATTTAAAGTCAGATTCCAGTTTAGACCAACAAAAGATATTTGATCTCTAGAACAGGCTAAAAATTATAATCTTGGGGTTCTATATTTCCCAATCTCTGGCACTGTCCCCTGAAGACTTACCATTCCATTGATGTGTAGCCACTCTTCTGGGTCAAATGAGAGCTCCTCTTCTGGGTCCCAGCACTCCTGTGAGCCCAAGGTGTAAACTACCCACACTCGGGACTTACAGTATAGGTGAAAATATAACTCTACATTTTTTTCTGTTTTGTGTGCCGGTGTCCTCCACCATGGGGGATTAATATTGGACAATAGAGCCAGAACCTGGAGTTAAGCTTTAACAATTGCCATTGTGCTTGAAAAGTTGTAACAAGAAGTGCATGCAGCATGTACCAGCTTTATAACACCTGGTCACTTCAACAATAATGAGCTATCCACAATCTTTTTTATTTCTGGATTTGAGCTACAAATTCACCTCTCAATTCTTTGGACAATTGTCATAGCTTAAAACACTTGTTCGTACTCTTGGCAGCTGAGTCAAAATAGTGCCATCACCATCTCACAAGGACACTTCAGCTATAGCTATAGACTGTTCATCTAACTACAGTCTTCAGCTATAGGACCTGCAAGTCAGTGTTCAATCTTCCATCAAATGGGCAGAATTTCTGAAAAAAGTAGAAGATTCAAATAAAAGATAACCATTCCAAGCAATCCCAGCAGTGTTATTTTTTGTGCTAACCTTGTCACGGTCACACGGTGTGGTCTACATATAAATGTGGATAAAATAATAAAAAATATTAACATACTAAATTCTATCATTACAAATATTGACCACAGGCAGTTATCGGAGTAGAATATTTTTCACAATAACAGTTCCTTTAAATAAAATAGTCCTTGCTATACAATGTGGATGGTAAAATAGGAAAATTGGTAAAGAGGAGAAATTAATGTCTTTGTCCTTTGAACTTTGAAGTAACCAATCAGACCTTGTATTTATTCTGCAATGTTGACAGTAAAATATTGCAGAATAAGCTGGACAAATACTCTTAGATTTTTTTTTCACTTAGACTGTGGGCTGAATGAAAAAATTCTTACAGATTCCTCCATCCATGCTATACATTGCAGATGGATGAGTCTATGCCCAGGGGCAGACTGACAATTCATGGTGCCCCCGGGCAAAAGGGGATCATGGGGCCCCTGTGTCCTTGCCCAAACTCAAAAAAGCCTATGAAAAAGGTACCAGGGGCATCTCATCGGGCCCCATACTGACCCTGGGCCCTCGGGCAGTGCCCGAGTTTCCAAATGGTCAGTCTTCCCCTGTCTATTCTCATTGTATTCTGGTAACTGGCACTTGCAGCTTTCAGAATATCCAAATTGGCAGCTGCATCTGATTTGATGCAGCCATTGTTTTCCCTCTAGCTCTTCAAATTATCAATTGCAGAATGTCGGTCAGAGGGATTGTGGCAGGGCAACCCATGAAGCAAATTTCAAGCAGTTTATTTGGAACGGTGGAAATTCGCATAGCTTATAGCTATATTAAGGCCAATAGCGTCACATTTTCATCTATCCATTGACAGTGTTAAGCTAGCCATACACAATGCAATCTGTACAATCTCTACCATGTAGAACAAGGTCTACCTAAACATCCCATTCAGTTCATATCCAGTCCGCAAGGCTCTAATACTGCATATATGTTAGAAGATCTGAAGAAGACAGGGCAGCACAGTGGCTAAATGGTTAGTACTTCCGCCTGGCAGTACTAGGGTCGTTGGTTCGAATCCCAGCCACAGCACCTCCTGCCTGTAGTTTGCATGTTCTCCCTGTGCCTGCATGGGTTTCCTCCAGGTACTCCGGTTTCCTCCCACACTGCAAAGACATGCTGATAGGTGAATTGGATTCTGTCTAAATTGTCCCTACTATGTGTATGAATGTAAGCTAGGGACCATAGATTGTACACCCCTTGAGGGTTACGGACTGATGTGAATGTATAATATATATGTAAAGTGCTGTGTACATTGACGGCACTATATAAAGTACCTGAAATAAATAAAGTTAAAAAAAGAGACTAAAACACGTATAGACAACTTACCACCTGTATTATTATTTAAGTGTGTGTTATGTTAAAAAAGCCAATGTATAATAGTTGTGACCTTTATTAAGGGAACATGAGTATACAGCTATTAGCAGCACATTAAAGGGACTATGCTCTCTTAATACTTTTCTTTCTGGGTAGCCACCAGTTGTGGTTTGGCTTACCAATGCTTACCAATGCCAGGGGCACATGCATAGGTAAATGAATTGAAAATGAACATGCTTCTTTATACCCCTTAAATAGGACATGTATTTAGGTGGGTGAATGGCCTCTGCTATCAAAGGTTTCATAACCAGTAATTACTGAATGAACAGATATCCTTAGAGTCAATGGGTTTTAACCTAAACCTACAAGTAATTTGGCTAAAAATGTGTCAACATTGGATTGCTATTAGTATCCTGTAGTTATTTTTGTTGAATAGCATTGCTCTCAGTAGGGTAACATAATACTGGATTTCTCCTACCTGAATGTTTTCAAGTAAACTATTTTAGATATCAGCTCACACCCCCAGGGATCACTTCAATTGTTGCACTGCTCATCCAATGCTTTACTCCTACATACACACAGAAAAAAAATTGTAGCTTTATCTAAAGCGACAGTTGTTCATTGGTAACTAACTGTTGTGAGTAACACCAGATCTAGTACTGAGAAAGGAGGGCAGGAGTCAAATGACTACTCTCTCCTTAATTACCATTCATATTCATGTTTAACATAACAGTATTCCATGCCAATGCATTCTGTGTGGTTGTTGATTTGTTGTTGATAAACTAAAATATACACATAGAAATAGGTTGTAATGAGAGAAATAAAATAGTGTTCCTTACGACCTTGGATGTAAAAGTAAAGCAACATGATTAATGAGAATGGAAAAAAACAGAACGTGGCATAAATTGAGGATCAGTGAATTTATGTTGTTTCATTAGAAAATATACTTTAGTCTACATACAGCATTAAGTAATTAAAACAGAATAAAAGCTGATTCATATACCCAAATAAAGAAAAGGCGATGCTTTGCCCATGTCAACCAATCATATTCTTCAAATGCCTTTCCACAAAATCTGATAAAATCCAGTTGCTAAAAGAAATAGTTACTCCATGGCTGCCTACATATGTATCAGCAGACATGAATGCAAGTAACATTGTTGTCCTCTGAACCAAATTATGCAAAAATGTGTTTTTACATGCAAGCCTTTACACATGGGAAGATAGTCAATGGCTAACAATCACAGCATTAGAAATTATTTATTCTGTTATGAACAGGATTAGATGATACCTAAAGTTCAGCATAAAGTTGTGGTTCCTGTGGACTGCCGATGACACAAAATTTAAAGATCAAGTACAGAGCCCATTCTAAGTGTACACATGGCTACTAAAATATTTTTTTTTAACCTGGTTAACAACAAGGATGTTTTATTGTGGAAATCTTTTTTATAGCCTGTGGGGTTGACTTACTAAAATTGAAGAGTGCAAAATCTGATGCAACTGTGCATGGTAGCCAATCAGCTTCCAACCTCAGCTTGTTCAATTAAGCTTTGACAAAAAAACTTGGAAGCTGATTGGTTTCTATGCAGAGCTGCACCAGATTTTGCGCTCTCCAGTTTTAGTAAATCAACTCCTGTGAATGTGAAAACTCAAAAATGTGACTCATTATTTCTCATCGGGGAGGGTTAAATGTTCCTTAGGTCATTATTTCTTAGGTTCCTTATTTCTTGCTCCATCAGGCTTCCAGCACTCACATCTGATGACCTATCTAATGATCTGAGTTGAACCCTCACTGTCCTCACATACAATGCAAGACTATCAGTCTTGTATTGTATTTTATGACATCACAGTGCTAAAATTGGCCAAATCTCTGTAGAGAAGGGGATTTGGGGGACCAGTCACACAGGGAGGAGGATGGGGATGATCACACAAGGAGGATGAATAGAAGGACTGATGGAGTGAGGAATAGAATAAGTAATACACCTTATTCTTCTATCTCGAAACCTTACTTGACAAGCATTTAAAGGATAACTTCACGTTTGGGAACATGTTACATGTTCCACCCATTTTTACTTGCAAAAAATGTGTATTTATTAATTTTGTGCAAAAGGTGAACTTATCCTTTAACCTTTGCAGTGCATGAGAGCCCACTGCATGGGTATTTTAATACTGGAGTTGGGCTTTAAAGTAGAACTATAAGAAAACCTTTTTTTTTTCATTTTGGATAGAATAAATATGGGTTATAACCCGTGTCATCTGTGTCCCATTTGGAAGATTTACCTTCACTTCCTTTCGCATAACCAAGGTGAAAAGATAAAGAAAATTCTTACAAATTAAGAGAATTTCTTGGGGACCCCAGGTAATCAGAACCCCATTGGAAGATTTTCCCTCTATTACTTTTCTGGGGACAACCCAAAATGTGGGATTTTATTTTACTTTCACTTTCAATAATAAAGATAAACCAGACAAACAGAGAGGGTGAATCTCCCTAACGGGGATACCGACTGAAATAAAAACTGACAGTTTTTCTAATCCATCTCTACTTTGTCCAAAATGAAAAAAAAAAGTTTTACTTTATGTTATGCTTCAAGTCTAAAACATGTCAATTGGTATTGTTACCCATATGTTGAGAGATTACAGACACATATTGTGAGCACACCACACATTAAACCCCCTCACCCAACCTTTAGACTAGGTTCACACTATTGAGGCTCTGAGAGCTGCAATTGCTTGGCCTGCACCATTTTTAGACTACAGTGGCAAGGAAATTTCTCAGTGGTTCCCACACCGGCACAGGTGATGTGGTTTTAGATGCGTGGGGATGTCATTAATGAATGAATGAATGGCAGACCTTCCCATTTCTATAGAGCATCACATTTTGGCTATGCAACTGTGAACCTAGCCTTAGACTGAAAATTCACCTGTTGTTCAAACCTGGTACTGTAGAAGGACTAATAGAACTATTGTCAGGTCATCCGAGACCAGCATATCTTTTATTGAACTGAAAAAAGACATGCCAAACATTTTTGATATTTCTATTGTTCTTAGAATACCATCCAAGAGCCAGCTATTATTATAAAACAAGAGTCTTTGGAGTTGTTGCTTGTAGCATGTAATTACATTCCTTATTTTAAGGCATGTACTATAAAAATTAGTTTGATTGGCTGTTAAGGACAGCACAGATACGTTTCCCTTTCACCAATTTTTTGAATGCTCCTATTAGCTATGTAAGTAATCACTATGCTGTAGCTGGTTCCCCAGTCAGTTTTTATTTGTACAAATGTCTGCTCGATGAGGGGACTCCCACATCTGCTGACGCCATCCAATACAATGTGTCACACAGCAGGGCTGTGCGAGTTGGCAGGTTGACTGTCTCCACACTGCGAAGGTGACAGGATCACATTAATACACATAGACATAACTTCACAGCCCCCTTCTCATATGCAAATATATTCACAGAGAAATAAAGACTCTTTGATACTTGAGCAATGAACCTTTGCATCCATTTACCTGCCAGAAAAACAAAAACTATTTTCTTAAAAGTCTGCTTTAATTACTTGAATATGTTATGCGATAAGTTTGCTGGATGTGAGGCATTTCTGCAAATCATTGTATAATTCATTTTCTAATGACTTATCGTCCACTTTGTATTGTGCCTGGGAGGGAGCAAAATCTCCTGGAGCTTTACCTCCTAATTATGATCAATGATCTAAATCTTTTCTCCAAGTAGGCTGGACTACACACCATTGAATAACAATAAAACACTAAATGAGCGGTAAAAGCTGCAGAGTGGATGTGAAATAGATGCTTTGCCAAGAGCTTACACTTCATACCATGCTACTTTGACAACACTGTTCTTTATAGAAGACCCAGCACCATGTCTCCTGTCAATGCCTGGTAGACCACAATGTGATCTTGTTCAGTCCTGTACTATGGGTGACTTGATGCTGTACGTACATGGGAATTATAATGTCATATCATAAAGACAATGTGTAAGATGTTGATAAACACCCCCTGCGCCACCTCCTGTGTGTTACCCAAAAACCATATATAATGTGCTCTTTTAATTTATAGGTTGCTGCAATCATTAACTTGTGTTCCCACAATGCAAGAAATAACATCAAATAGATAAATAATGTTGCGCTACCAATTACCAAAACATGTGCAAAATATTGTGCAATCTGTCCACACGCTTCAGGATGTGAATCATATCCAATAAAACAAATGTTGCCACAAAAACATATTC